TGTATTATTTATTTTATTTTACAGTTAAATTATTATTTATGTAATTAGGGTTTTTTTGTAATCTTAAATGTTCCTATATGAACTGCCGACCTCTTACACTTCAATTTAAAAAAAAAGGACCTTTGTGGAATTTGGCAGATTTGTTTTTGTAGTTTTCAGTTTTAAGGGGGTTATTTTTTTTCTTGTACATATATCAGAGATATATATCGAGATATCGAAAAATATCGAGATATATTTTTTGATCCATATCGCCCAGTCCTAGTGTGAAATAACTTAACACTTGATAAAACAAATGGCTAAAACCAGTTGGAAATAAACCTAAAAGGACTTCCAATATTTCATTTAAGTGATAAACTGTCCCTGAAAAACTGTATTTTTCATTTGTAAAGAACCATTAGGAACTTGAGCTAGTTTTCCTCAATATTTTCTGTTTCAATTCAAATAAATTTCACAATCACATTCACCAACGCATTCAAATCGTTTTTAAAGGGGTATTAATTACTAACACACAACATAAGAAAATACTGATAACAAGTTATTAAAATGTTCAATAACTCCATTTTCTCTCCACGCTAAGCCACTCCCTCTTCAGAGCACTTTCACAACAGAACCAGCACACATCCCGCTCATGAAACTACTGCACTTGGGTTCGAATAGGGCTCGGGAGAGATCGCTAGATTACCCAAACATGTATGGAAGACATAGGTGCGTTTTTGATGAGGGAAAATTATAACATGTCCATTCTGCATAATACCCCCTTTTTAAAATAATAACACAATCTAAAAAACAAAAAATAACAATTGTTTAATTGTTTTAGATTGCTCAACATTAACAGAGAGATCGCTAGATTACTCAAACATGTATGGATGACACATAAAACTTCCTCAGGCATGTTTTTGATGAGGGAACAGCTTTATAACACAGTGGAAAGCTTCAAAAAGTCTATTTCTCATAAGATCACTAATGAGACTAGTTCACGCTGGGTTCGAATAGGGCTTGGGAGAGATCTCTAGATTACTCAAACATGTACGGATGACACATAAAACTTCCTCAGGCATGTTTTTGATGAGGGAACAGCTTTATAACACAGTGGAAAGCTTCAAAAAGTCTATTTCTCATAAGATCCCTAATGAGACTAGTTCACGTTGGGTTCGAATAGGGCTCGGGAGAGATCGCTAGATTACCCAAACATGTATGGAAGACATAGGTGCGTTTTTGATGAGGGAAAATTATAACATGTCCATTCTGCATAATACCCCCTTTTTAAAATAATAACACAATCTAAAAAACAAAAAATAACAATTGAGCAATCTAAAACAATTAAACAACATTAACAGAGAGATCGCTAGATTACTCAAACATGTATGGATGACACATAAAACTTCCTCAGGCATGTTTTTGATGAGGGAACAGCTTTATAACACAGTGGAAAGCTTCAAAAAGTCTATTTCTCATAAGATCACTAATGAGACTAGTTCACGCTGGGTTCGAATAGGGCTTGGGAGAGATCTCTAGATTACTCAAACATGTACGGATGACACATAAAACTTCCTCAGGCATGTTTTTGATGAGGGAACAGCTTTATAACACAGTGGAAAGCTTCAAAAAGTCTATTTCTCATAAGATCCCTAATGAGACTAGTTCACGCTGGGTTCGAATAGGGCTTGGGAGAGATCTCTAGATTACTGAAACATGCATGGATGACACATAAAAGCTCCTCAGGCGTGTTTCTGATGAGGGCACAACATTATAACATTGTGGAAAGCTTCAAAAAGTCTATTTCTCATAAGATCCCTAATGAGACTAGTTCACGCTGGGTTCGAATAGGGCTCGGGAGAGATCGCTAGATTACTCAAACATGTATAGATGACACATAAAACCTCCTCAGGTGTGTTTCTGATGAGGGAATTTCATAACGACGGAAAGCTCCAAACTGTCCCTTCTGAATAATACAACCTCTTAAAAAAAAAAAAAAAAGAACGCAATCTAAAAAACAAAATTGACAAAAAAAAACAATATAAAACAATTCAAAGTAAATGAACCCTGGATTACATGATATTTAAATGTGTGCCATAGCCCAGTTTTGTGCTGTGGGAGCCGCTGGGGCAGGTTACACAAGCTGGCAGCGCAGCGTGAACAGACAGGGCTTATATAAGAGGCATGTGTTATTCAAGTGGATTACAGTGTACAGAGGAGGGTTACACAAGCGGCTGTGTCACTGTGCCACCAACACAAGACTCCGCCGCCGCGCAGGGAGAGACAAGACTGTAATTAAAATGAACCACTAGTCACTTTCCCATTAGCTGGATCCACGTAATATGTAGGTTAGCAGTTTGAGTCATGTTTCTCTGCCCTCTGTTGTCTGCAAAATTCTAAAACGTAGTCCTTTTCATCGTCTAGTGCAGGAGTGTCAAACTCATTTTGGTCCGGGGGCCGTATCCAACCGACTTTGATCCCAAAGGGGCCGGATCAAAAAACTCATGTCATATAAACCCCAAAAATAACAATAAGTTCAAATATTTGTGCAGAGAAACACAAATCTATTACAGAAATCTTTTTTAATTGATGAACTCTTTCTTTTACAAAATATTATAATTATTATGAACAACCTAAAACTTTAAGAAAAATACTATCAACACAAAGTTTTAACATGAACTTGTTTAACATTAACTTTTAGAAATAGGAATAAGTAAATTTTTGTTGTAAAATCCTGCACTCGGCTCCACTTTTCTCATGTTGGACATTTTTCTGATGAGTGTGTCACGGTCAACAGTCAAAACGATCGTCCTTTAAGAGCGTTTGGAAAGAGACAAGTCTTCATTTGTGCTGCTCTGGTGGGAGGGGCCACGTACAGAGACGCTGGAGACGCTGCTGTGATAAACACCACAGAAAATTAACACGATTTTAATAGAAAATATAATTAAAATATTTTAGTAGAAAATCAGCCGAGGGCCACATTAAAGGTCTTGGAAGGGCCGGATCTGGCCCCCGGGCCGCATGTTTGACACCTGTGGTCTAGTGGATCGTGCAAAGTCCGATCATAATATTATCCGTGTTTTTAATTGATATATTTCAAAATGTTTAAAGGTCTTGTCAATTTTAGCTGTTTTATTATACTTTTTTTACTGCATTGCAAAAACTGAAGGGTTAAAATTTCAGAGTTGTTTTTTTTTTCCACGCAAAATGTATTATTTTAACTATTTGAAAGTTAAACGGGGGTTCGAATTGGGGTTATTTGCCAGAGTTGGTATGGTCGAAGTTGATTCAAATTTCTTTCAGACCCATAGTTTCAACCTCCCGCGAGAGAAGATCAGTTTAATTTCATTTTAAATTAACTAAAATAAAGCGTTAAAAAATAAACCCCCTCTGTGTTGCTTAGGTAAATCAGGATAACCCTACAAAGTGTTACCCGTTTACTCTCAAAACTATTATATAACTCTTGATTTCGGGGGTTAAACTGGAATTTTTGATTTCCAAAAAATGTTAAATTAACTCTAGAACAGACTGGACTCATATAAACCCTGAGAAAATGTTAAAATTGATTCTGTGAGAGTCAATTTTAACACTTCCACTTTTTGCTGTGTGGGATAGTTGAGTTTGTAGTTTTAAACAGTCTGTCAGTAAAATCTGGTGGTATTAATGGTTACAGTTCTGTTAAATATTTAAATTTATTAAAATGTTTATATTCAGTTAAAGGAAAACCATGTAAATTTCCTGGTGACGGTTTTCCTCCCCCTGCGTGTTTGTTATTAGATACTGCTGCTTAACTTAGAAGTACAAAGTTACATAACATAATAATTATCTATAACTTTATCTCTATGGCGACTAGAAGGCAATGCCACAAAGCCAGGTTACAGGTTAGATCTGTGAAGAGGCGATTCCACTCACAGTAAGAACTAGGGATGGGCATTCGATGAAATTTTCTTAATCGATCGTCGGAAGAATTAACGATCGATTATCGATTAATCATTAACGTTCTTATATTAAAATGATCATCATTATTATTACTATCTGCACTACTAATCTGCATAAATTAAATTCAACTTTACGACAAATAAACCGTAACGACTCTAGAGCCACATCAGCCCGTTTGACATTATAATGTGTTTTAATTCAGTTTTGTGCAACTCTCACAGAAATGAAACTTAAAACCGCATCGCTAATTTGCATAAACTAAGTGAAGGAAAAAAAAACAGCTCTTGTGTCGCTGATGCGGTTCAACTTCTGTCAGATTAAAAGACATGACTCAGTGGAATACAGGTTAGTGTGACCAGATTTGCAATTTGTCAAAACCAGGACACCGTACGGGGGGAGGGAGGTGGGGACTCGTCATCGACATTGCGCGCGACTCTCACCTGGAAAACTTTTTCCCACTGGACACCGAAAACATATGTGCTGCTTTATACACTGTGCACATGGACTCACACTTGTCCCGAACGCAACGGAAAGCGTGGAATTTCTTGTACAAGTCATCGTTAAATACACATTTGCGCTTCGGTACGTTGCAGACTGACCCACTGTTTGTGTCTCGCTCCTTCTGAGTGCAGAGACACATGTACAGACCTGTTTGGTCACTCTACGCTACGCACAGCAACCTACTTTCGGTTTGTCGATTAAAATAAACGTAATCGATGAAAGTGCACCGTATCAGCAACTTCTTAATGATACCCAGCCCTAGTGATGTCATGTAGTATTTTCAATTTAACAGCTACCTTTTACCTATAATTCAGTAGAGATGGGCGATTCCAGGGCTGAAATTATCCAAATGATTCTAGCGAAGGTGAATGGAGTTTAAAAACACAGTGGACATCACAAAGTGGAGTGTTTAAGAGAAGAACGGAGTCTAAATATGCAGAGTTTGTGTGTTAAACATTAGATCATAGTACTTTCTTTTATATTCCCATGTGGTCTCATATTTTTGTAATCCCTCAGTGGTCCATGGGCGTGTACTAGTCTCTGTGCTCTTATATTTGTTCTGATCCAGCCCAAGTTCATTCTAAATTTATTCAGGAAAGGCTCATTTCTGTCCTGTGAATGTGACTTGTTTAGTATCGACACCTGCTCTAATCAGTATCTACTGTCAAAACTAGTTTTTGTATCAGATTTTCGATACTTTTGGTAACTCCAGTGCAGAGAAATGTGTGTGTATGTGCATGTGTGAGTGTATGTGCATGTGTGAGTGTGTGGTGCTTGTGTGTGGTAGTACACAGTGGACAGGGGAGTTCAGTACAGCCTGTTCCAGTGTCAGTATTAAATATTCTGAATAGGAGCAGCTAATCCACGAAAACCCACTACACCCCGGTCTATTTACAAATCCATAAGGGCACTTTGATTTATGGATCAGTGTACAGTATATAGAGCACTAAGGTTGAATCGTAGGAGTTGGTTGCTAGGCTCCTCAATTACTTCTGTAGTAAAAGTTGCAGTACTTTCTGATTTTGCCCGAGGGAGCTCGAGATCGGGAACACATGAAGGAGAATTTCAGGTAGACTAATGCGAAACCAATGGAGATTTTCAGAAACTAAATTCTTAAAAATGTTCACGGTATGTTTTTTTGATGAGGTAACAACACTCTAGCACGACTTTAAGCTCACAAGAGTCAGTTCTGCGTAATATAAGACCTTTAACATACACTATTATGTAAATACTGGAGGATCAAATATCCGTGAGGACGTTTTTACTTTAGATTTGCTTAACAGACTTTTCCAGTTCTGCTCATCCCTTCCAAAGAATTCATATATTTTGTTCCTTTATTAATTTAAATGCCTGACGTTGGCGGATCTTTTCCCACGTGCTGTATCCGCCCGCAGGCTCAGATCTAATTCAACAAAGACGCTGTTGTCACTAAAGCAGTTTCGCCAGGTTCGCTTACGGACAACATTTGCTGATTTCCACTGACAGATGAGACAAACAGAAATATTCAGAGAGTGGGGTTTAGATGTTGGAACAGCGTGAATGGATCAGAGAGATTACAGTAGATGCGTGTGGTTTAGGTGTGAAAAAATACTGAAATTGTTATGGGCTGCTGTATTGATATTTAACAACCTAGAGTATGTTTGGAATCTTTTAGCGTTTTTTTGTGACTACAGTTTTGCTAGTTTATGCAATACACTTAAAAGTCACAGTTTTGATGAGTAAATTAGATGTATTTTTGCATTAATTTTGCACAGGTAGTGTTTTAAAAATGTCCTGAATACAAAATAAAACCTATAATTGCCCTTTTTCATTTTTAGATGGCCAATAAAAGACGATTGCAGGCATGAAAAGGCGTGCGTGTGTGGCAATTCACCAGTATATGCACTAGTGTTGTAGTCAAGACCACACTAATCGAGACCAAAACCTGTCTGAGACCACAGGGTCCTGAAACCGAAACAAGACCAAGACCTCTGAGGGACCAAATCGAGACCATCTTTGTCATTTTACAATTATTTTTGCACAAATATATCAGTGTTTTTATAAATCTATCTCCATTTTATCCGATTAATGTTCATTTAGACTTAAAATAAGCTAAACAAACACTTTTTTAAACACTTTGTGCCCCCTTTTTGGACCCTCACCCACAGTTTAAGAACCTCTTCATTTTCAGAAAACTGCTTCAAAGAGAATAAATAGCGGATAGGAACCTGTTTTTTATTTATTTTTTTTCAAATTCCTGACTAAACTTACATTCTCTTACTGGTTTTACAGCTGTATTTAGTCTCTGCACTTTTACCAAACCAAACGCAAATCGTGACAAACACAGATTTATTTGGCATTTTATTAGACAAACTTCAGCCTACATATCGCAGTAGGCCATACACAGGCCTGCTCTGTGCTGTAGGTCCGCTGTGCATTAATTCATTTTAATTTTGCATTAATTTTGATTAGTTCTTGCTTCGCTTTCCATCTTGTTCTTCCAATCAATATTTGACCTTTCCATCAGAGACAGTGACCCAGGGACTTTGCTCTAGATCTGAGCTACAATCCGGAGTATCAAGCTAAAATACTATGTTTATATTAAAAGTGCACTGTGTAATTTATGGGTGGAGAATCTGTTACGTGCTTGTCTCCATGAAGATGTTATTTCTTTGCCTGGAATGTTCCACAGTATGGCATTAAACATATCTCCCTTGCATTTGTACAATTACAGGTGTTTTATTGCTCAAAAAGATCTTAAATAACACAAATTCTTAATGTGGAGGCTTGCTTCTCCATAGATCTGACCATTAACCTGCCTCCATAGTGGTTACCAAGTCCATACTGTGGAATAATCAAGGCAAGACACTATTATTTCCATGGAGACAAGCAGAAAAGTTACACAGTGCACCTTTAAGTTACTTCTAACAGTAACGATAATCTTATTTTTGTATTGAGTTTGTTCGTTCTTACCAGTTTTGTGTGAGCCGAGTGCTTCAGGTTTGCAGTCTTCTTCTCTGATCCCTGTGCTGCTGGAGTCCAGGCAGGCCACCTCCTGTCTACGGACCTGCACTTCCTGTTGAGAGGCTGCTGTTGTGGATACGGAGGATGGCTTCACGTGGTTTGTTACATCAGCTGCAGAAAAAGGCAAATATTAGAATCAAACTTTTGTGTGAGAGTCATACACAAAAACATGGCTGCAGATGAGGACGAGATAAGGATGTGAGATTCAAAAACTATGATTTCTAATAACAATTTAAGGGCAATTTTGACTTCTTCAATCTTTAATATAAAAATTAAACAACAAACTTAACTTAACCAAGACCAAAAAGAGCTAAAAATACCCTTCATATCTAAATATCGTTAAAAAAAACAACACTTTTATTCTCTGGCTTTTAACACCACGTGAGTTGTGTGGTTCTCTGTGTATTTTTAAATTTATTTTACTTATTTATGGCTATTTTATGATTTTTATGGTTTTGCTTTTATTTGCTTTTACTGGTTTTATTGTTTTAGGACTGGTATGATCAAATTTGAGCAATTTTAAGTTTTTGTTGTCTTAATTTTATGATCACTTTGGAAACTACTTTGTTTGTAAAATGTGCTATAGAAATAAAATGGATTTAGATTTGGATTTGTCATTGTAATATATTTATTTTGTAGCTTTAATGAATATTACCATGTGAATATTTTACTGTGATATTATGCAGCCCTAACTAAAAACGTTAGACTGGCCGGACCGCATTGCTGTCGACAAAAGTATTTACCTGTAGTGTACTCAGGTAGCAGTGGTAGGGGATAATCCTGTTTTCTTTGCTGCTCCAGACGCCTCCGCCTCTCTAGCTCCTCCTGCTGAGCCGCTTTGGTCGTCACCTCCAACTGGTGATCGCGAAGCAGCTTTCTACAAACGAGAAGACACAAAAGATCAGGAAAATGCAGTTATATCTCTTAAAGCAGTCAAAAAGGACTTCTAACTGTTGTAACAATGGATGCAAATGATCACTCGGTCAAACTAGAGTGACTTTATGAATTAATTTAATGAGATAATGTAAACTCTTAAATTAATGGAAATTATAAGTTACGTTAAGGGGCCTGTACTTGATTTTTCCCCATGTACTTGCAAAATATGTCTTACCCCAGTGCAGATATATTATTTGTACTTATAAAGTGTTGATTTGTCAGAGAATCAGGAAGCATGTGGTTTGCATACTAGTTGATGTGAGCATTACCATGACACTTTATGTTGTGAAAAATCTTTATAAACTTATCTCGTTGAAAATGTTTAAGTTCCCCTAGACTGTAGTAGTAGAGCAACAGATTTTTTTGCTTAGAATTCAGCGTCAACAGTATCGCAGTGTTAGTCAAATGTACTTGTTTGAAATACTTTGAGGTTAAAGGCGCCGGGGTGGTCTGACTCAGAGCTCGGCGGTGGAACTCTCGAGGGATTCTGCACTAATCTTTTCATCTGGAAACAATACGCACTGACTGACTTTGAACTGCGTTAAGAAATACAGTGGCAATACAAGAACCAAATGGCAAATGTGAAGATAGTGTTACAAATGTCTGTTATTCTAAGTTTATTATTATCTATTGTAGGATACTGATAGTGTAATTTGGGTTAGAATGGCAATGAGTGATAAAAACATCTGTATTTTTTATAATATTGCGTTGGCTTACATTTAAATATATATGTAATGTTTGTGTTTTGCTTGTGGTTCTCCATGTTTTTAATTAACGCCATAAAAATAATTAGTATTAAAGACATAAATATTGTATAAATAACACTTTCTAGCTACACATCTAAAAAAAAAAAAAAAAAAAAAGTAGGTAAATATTTTAAGTAATTGGCATATAAATACAGGAAGCATAGAACTGGGGTTACATCTAGTAACTACACCCTCATATGCATAGAACCAGGGTTACGTCTAGTGACAGTTTTTACCGTAATAACTTTGAGCTTCTTTTTGTTTGTTTTTTTGTACCTGATGTTCCGCCTCATGTGTTGCGGTTTGGAGCTCCTCTTCTTGCCGATGCTGCGCGTGGGCGACGGGCTCTGGCTGTGGGCGTGGTCTCTGGAGGGGAGGGGCTGAGACGGAGAGGACGACTGCGGAGGAGTGCACTGCCATCCCCCCGGGTCCCCTCCCTGCGCCTCATTCTCCGAGCTGAAGGGGGCGCTGTGGTGGGACTGGTCTGCAAGAGAAAAGAAAAGACAACATATACCTTAAATTTTGGAACATATAACAGGTTAAATCATTGAATACGTAGTTATAGATCAACCTAATTACTGATAAATATTCAAATAATTAAACTTTAGTACCAAAACTCTGAAACACGTCATTAAAACACGTCAAAATATGATTGTATAAGCAGCTCTTGAGATCAAAATAAGTCTCCTATGTACTATCTGCATCTAATTATACTATTGTCAGATAATCAGGAAGGGCACTGTTAGCATACTAGTTGTTGATAGCATTTCAGTGATGACAAAACTCAGCTCTGGCGAAAGAAAGTTGTGAAAAGACCTATAAATTCATTGCGGAGGACAGTTAAAATTCTCAAAATGCATGAGGTAAGTGAGGAATAACTTTGGACCACTGCAACCCATTTAAAAAGAACTCATCATGCAAATTGAACATAATTTGGGCCTGATTTCGGCTGACTTAAAATAGCAAAGTAATATAATTGTCTGTGGTTATGACATTTAATAATTCAGGACAGAAATAACTGATCAACTGCTTGTACAGCCTTTTACAGAGTTACAACAGAGCTACACATCAAGATAACCAATATTACTTTTTATATGTTGTTAGGGGAGGGGTTTGGCTCTACATAGTTGAAAATGCGGAGACAGTGACATAATGTTTCGAGAATTTTGACAATGGGTAATAAACAGAACAAAGACATGTTGTGTAACTGACTGTGTACACTTGAGCATATGTACAGAACAGAGGACCATAAAAAGACATGTAATATCATTAGCACACAAGGGCCAATACGCAATACACTTTAAGTACTGTTTTCACTTTGGCCTGTTAATGGAATTGCACTTACGATCAACTGTGAGGTTAATCGTGAAGAGTTAGAACATGCTTTTTTATCTGCTTATACAACATTATAATTTATTTAGATAAGAAAATGTTAAAGGGCCCATATTACGCAATTTTCTGAACTGTGTTATAACGGTTCCTCATCTAAAACAGACCTGGATTTGTGTTTTGTTTCATTCACACATGTTCAACACACAAACCCTGCATATTTTAGTTCTTCTCTCGAACTGCGGACACTCTGTTCCACCTTGTGATGTCATGTGGTTGTGCTTTTAAACTCCAGACACCTTCGCTAAAATCATTTGGATGATTTCTGCCTTGGAATGGTCAATTTCTACTGAACTAATGGTAAAAGGTTAGTCAGGCTGGCGCCACCTCGTGCCTCCGCTCAATTTCATTTCTCTCCAGCGACTAGGTCAGGAATTGGAATACACTAGACGGTTTGCAAGAACCCAGGAAGTGCGAGTGCGGGCACCAGCCAATAAGCGAAAAGTCATACATTCTGTGTTGGCAACAATTCCCGAGATCGAGGATTTAAAGCCGAAACAAAGAGAACGTTTAGTGAATTTTATCAAGGGGAAAGACGTTATTGTCCTTTTTCCTACGGGATTTGGGAAAAGCTTCAATATACCAGGTAGCCTTGTTAGTAGCGCATTACATACGTCACGACCAAATAGCAGCGATTGGTTAAATAAAAAAAAGTACCTCCCATCAAGCGAATAAATCCTAATGCTGTGAGGTAAGACAGTTTCCACAAAGTGATACCGGCTGATGAATCAGGCTAGTAAAAGGCGGCTGTTAACTTGAAATCGGCCGCTTCACGACCTCACAAGGTGGAACAGAGCATTTTGAGCTTTGGAGATGTAGACAGACTAATAATAAAGAATTACTCAAACATGTGTGAATGAAACAAAACACAACTCTCAGTTCTGACACATTAAGTACGAATGTGAACACAGCTCTTTGTATGAATCCTTCTATTTCTTATTTACTTATTTCGCATTCACATCAGAGTCATTAGGTGCTTGTTTGTTCATCTCCATCTCCTGGGTCTTTTTATGTAAGACCCAGACCCCTCCTCCCTCCGTCTCTCCCTCCCTTTCCCTACTTCTGCGTCTGCATCCACAGATTCATCCCTAAACTGTTGTCTTTGGCTGGGTCTCTGTTTGGGCAGCCGAGCGCTTCACTTTCCTTGGACACCCTTCACATGTCCTACTTGTTGTTGACGTCTTTCATAAGAGCGATATTCATGAGGGTTACACAAGGGCCGGATCTGGTCCATCGCGTCTCTGTTTGGAGGGAGAGGGCCAGAAAACCAACTGAATATGCCAACAAATCTATTACGTATGGTTGTTTGCATGTTGTTATGGTTGAAAAAGTTGTGTGGATACAAGTATATGAAGTAAAAGGAGTAAAATACTGTACTAAAGTATACATTTTAGGTGTGTGCACTATGTAACTTTTCGGTAGGAAGTCCTTCATGTGCTTGTTTCTATGGTAAAGGCCATTGCTCTGCTTGGAATTTTTCACAGTATCATATTTAACAGATCTACCTTACATTTATTCAATTACAGGTGTGAGCGGGGTCGCTTCTCTACAGATCTGAACTGTAACATGGTCCGGTTTGGTCTCCATGTAGATAGAAAGCAGTGTTTCCCACAGCGCTTTATAGTTAGGGTGGCCGCATTGACCACAATTGCCCCCCCACCTTGACTATGTCCCTTTGAACCACGTGAATCCTTACAAAACTACGATTGTCGCACCGCGGTCCTCAATTTCGCCGGCACGGTACCTCCGTTTAATGCCCTACTGTGAAACAATCCAGATGAAGCGAGAACATCTCCACGGAGAAAAGTATCTGATGGACCCTTCACCACAAAAGTTACACAATAATAAGCTTCAGGAACAGCGCAAGAACTGTGCAAGAAATAGAATCATTTGGCTGATTTCAGTCCTGGAACTGCCAATTTTGCACTGAACTGAACGTAAAAGGTATGAGGTTAATTTGACAACTAACGCTTCAGGACATCACAAGTTGCAACACAGCTTTTTTGTGCTTCGGAGATATAGACAGACTAATAAACCAGGTGTGAATGAAACAAAATCCAACTGCACGTATGTTTTTGGTGAGGTAACAACATTGTAACATGGCTTAAAACTCACAAGAATTCATTTTGTGTAATAGGTCCTTTAAGTTCATTATAAACGGTTACCAAGCACTAGAGACGTAACGATATCAAAATCTCACGGTACGATATTATCTCAATATGCCTCTCATGGTACGATGATCATTGCAATATTTTGGAGAGGTTAAACTAATTGTACATATGCTATTTTTTTCCTTTTTAAACACCTTAACCAGTTTTCTGAGTGAATCATTACTACCATATTCCAAAGAAATAAGATTCAAAGTGCTTAAAGGTTGTATGGAGGATTTTTTGAGGGAAGAGAAATACAGTGACAGTCCTTTTTTCAAATGTTGTGCATGTGTGACACCATCTTCCTCCTCCACAGCTCCTCAGTAGAAACATCTCCTCCCGCCTCTTTACTCTAGAAATCAGCCAGTGCGCGTTCAGAATTACCGTTGAAGTTTCCTGTCTAGAAATAATTTAGCGAGCGACGCATCAGTTTTTAGACCCTTTGTCCGCTTCATTCACGCAATCGCTGGAAGAGATCTCCGAGAATCACTTCAGTCTGGCTTTGCTCCTTTTCCTCTTCTCTTCTTCTTTCAGCGACCTCAAAAACGGACTTTCTTTGGCGGCGAACTGGTCGTGGATTCTCGTCCGACATCGCGACAAACTTTGTGCGAAATGCGAGGAAGCGACAGTTTGAAAAAGCCTCTAAGAACCGCCGCGTAAACCACAAAATCCCCGCACGCCGGCGAATCAGTTACACTAGAAACGTAGGGAGTTTGATTGACGACCTAACAGCTAATAGGAAATGAGGCAGCCTCGTTTTCTATTGGCTGATGTTTATCTGGCCTCAACACGTCCACAGTTGATAGATTTTCATTCTTTTTTTTTTTGGTCATTATAATTACAAAGCTGCTGCGTCTCTGTAATGGGATTTTAAACTTTCATTGACAATTTGAAACAAAAAAAAAATCCTCCATACAACCTTTAATAAGTTATTTAATTATGTAGTAAAAGATCATGGCCTATGCAGTTCACTCTTTCTTAATACTTTTAAGGGAAAACCTTGCAATTCAGTATATTGTGATGGACCACGGTATTATTCTGAGAGTTCTGACGATACGATTATCACGATATTTCGGTTATTGTTACATCTCTACCAAACACTGTTCCAACATGTAAATAGCATGGACTTGGTTCAGGTCTAACAACATCAATCATATAATCCCAAACTCTGCACTGCTGTTGAGTCATTGGGCAAGACACTTCACAAACCCTGCCTCTCCTAGTCGATACTAGTTCCAACACGAAGTACATCAAATCCCACCAAATCTTTTTACAAGTGATTTTGCTGTGGCAACCCTCAAAACACAACACAGCTTCCAAAACGTTCGCCTCGCCTTCTCTTTCTTCCATTTCAATCAGTTCTATAAACAAAAAAAATCTGATATTGTTATTTAAGTAAAGCAACTAGGAGTCAAAAGTTGGTTTCAAAATTATGTTGACATTCTGACAACATTCTGACATTCTTACATAGTTATTTTTGTATTCCTCTATGAAAAACACTTCTTACTTCTTGATTTACCAAAATTTCAAACTTGATTGCAATATTAAGGACTTGATGCTCAATAATCATTCTGATACAACGATAATAAAAACACTCTTTCTTTAGACAATAGAATGTGATTTTCAACATTAAGGCCCCATCCACACGTATTCAAGTCGTTTTCGTTGTGGATGCAGTGTTCGTCCGCACTAATCCGATGGAAAACGGCTCCAGAACAGATCTGGTGCCGGCAGCTCCCACGAATTCATCTGAGTATGAATCTGAATATATGTCCGTTAATATATACAGTCTATGCCAGGCATGTCCAAACTATGGCCCTCAGATACATTTTTCTTGGCCCTCAGACTTCCAGGTGATTTGGCCCAAATTACCTTGCATCAATTAAAAAATATTTTTTTACTGCAAGTTTTTTGAAAATCTACCTTGATAAAGCCAATGTTGAAT